AGTGATTTTGGAAGTGGATGGATTTAAAAATAAATTGGTGTAAAACTTTGGGTTTATAGGAAAAACCTTTTCTTGGGAAGTGGATGAGTTTAGAAATAAATGAATTTAAAACTTTGAATTTATAAGCGAAGTAGTGAACTTATAGATAAATGGGTAAAACTTTGGACTTATAGGCAAAACTCCGATCATAGTTCACGAAACCGCGGTGTTAGTGTGAAAAAAGTCCAAAAAGGTGATGGTTTAAGCATTTTATTTAAAATACATCATTTATCTAACCACTTAGAACAAAATTAAAAGGTTACAACAAAGTGTAACAACTTACACTTTATAAGTGTGATTTTGGAAGTGAATGGGTCTAAAAATGCATGGGGCTAAATCTTTGACTTCATAAGCAAAAATTTCACCTTTTTCGTGTGGGAAATGATGAATTTAAAAATTAATAGGGGTAAGACTTTAAGTTTATATGCAAAAGATTAGTGTTGTGAAGGGTGCCTCCCATTAACTTTAGTGTATAGAATGTAATTAATTCGAGTATTTTGTGCCTAAGTGTGATTTTAGAAGTGGGTGAATTTAAAAAATAGGGATAATTTTGGGTTTATAGGCCAAAAACTTTCTTTAATTTATATACTTTACTAGGACTTTCACTGTAGCATCTATCATGGTTAGCTATAGGAAAGTATAGTGCACATGAATGTGTTCAAAATAAGGGAAATTTTACATTAAAAGGTGATGACAAAAGGGGGGAAGGCACTGGTCAAGGAGAAAAGATGTCACTAGCAGGTCTTTTATTTTTGTTTAGAAGTGGTTGGTTGTTGTTTGGGTGGTTCTGATAGTTTTTGGGACAGTTTGGGGGATTGATGTAGCACGATCTATCAAGTTCTAGGAAAAGTGATTAAACAAACTAATATGCAAAGCAAATGCAAACTCACACTAAAATTGTAGCGAAAAATAATTTTAAATATCAAACTATAATAAACTAACAACTAATAGTAATAAATGATGAAAAACTACAGCAAATAAGGACTACGTTCGCGATAAACCTGAGATGTGAAATGTCGAGCACAGTCCACAAATCCTAATTGAGTACCCAGCGTTTGAGTCGAATTCATATTAGCTAATAAAATGGTCGCTTCAATATAAGATCAGGATGTAACAGTTTTAATTAACCACGATATAAGCAATCTGATTAAATGGGAATAAGTAGAAATAAGGGCTTAGATCTATAGTTCTTTGTCGCTGTGGAATTCTGCACGGATCAGATCTGTGAAGGAGAGGTTGCAACGTTGAGAATGCTTAATACTGTTCACGGGTACTGATCACTGGAGGCTTAAAAGGCACAAGTGGAATCAGTCCGGAAATCTTTTTTTGATCAATAATTCTCATTCAAAATTTACTCCCTATTACGTAAAAGTTCCTCCCTTTTATAGAGATTCAAATAAACAAAAAATAACTCAAATCTAAAAACATATAAATGCTTATCTCTAAACAAATCAAATCTTATCTAAAAACGTGTAAATGCTTATCTCTAAACAAATCAAATCTAAACAATCTCAATTCTATCAATAACCTTATTTTTATCCTAACAATAACCAAGTAAAATCTGAATTAGCATAAACTGAATAAAATCTGATGATATCTCAATGAGATCTACGATGCCAAGTCCCTCTAGAGTAGAATCGGGTATATTGATCCCTATCAGCGATCGTGAGTTCTGTTACATGGTAGCACCGACGAGACGGCATGAGGCTAGATAGTTGCGAAACTTAGAAGCACAAAGGGTCTTGCTGCTGCTACATAACAGAGGTGGGGCTGCTGTAGTGTTGGTTGCTGGAATCAAATAAAAGAGAAGAGAAGAAATGAGCCGTTAAGGGATAGGGATAGGATTTAGCCTCACATCAATATGCAAATTACGTGCATTCCAGTGGATTTTCTTTGTAAAATAAATTTAAACTCTATTAAAATCTGAAAATCATGAAGTACTTATGGACTAAAAACTCAAATTCAAATTTCAAGTCAAGTAACTTATCTTAATTTGAAAGGTTTTATCTATATTAGCCCCTTAAATTATCACTATTTTGATATTAGTACCCCAAATCTTCATATTTTGGTCGTAGTCCCCCAAATCGCATTAGTTTGTTGATATTAGTCCATGTGGTTAGGTGGTGTTATAAATGAAGGGGAATATTCCGCTAAGTTTAACTTTTTACTAGAAAGGACAATTGTACTTCTCAGATCCAATATCCAAATTCACTTATATGTTAAACTTAAACACAATAAGATCCTTAAACCTGAACCTGTTTCACATCTTTCTTTCTCCAACGGTCCATTTAACCCAACTCTCTTCTTTTCTGGCCAAAATACTCCAACCTCTCAACCCACATCCCCTTTTCCATCCTAACCTCCTCTCTCTTTTTCTCTAACCGTGAACTCCTCTCTCCTCTCCTTCCTCCTCCCTCTTTCTCCCTCTCAACCTCTCCCCCAACTAACTCGACCTCCTCGTCTTCAAATCCTTTCTTATCGACCCAACCTCTTCTCTCTCCTCATGGACCTAATGTTCTGATGACCACTGCAGTTGAGATTTGTAACTGGAAGAGAGAAGGAAATAACAGTTTAGTTGGGGATATAGAATGAAGGTGGGCATTTTGGTAAATTGTCAGTCATGGTTTGTCTTAGCCTAACCATGGTTGAGGGTTTTGAACGGAAATAGTAAAATAGAAGGACTAATATAAACATACTAATGCAATTTAGGGAACTAATATCAAAATATAGAGATTTGGGGAATTAATATCGAAATAGTGATGACATAAGGAACTAATATCGAAAAGCCTTAAATTCAAATAGAACTACGAGCCGTAAATTCAAATTTCAAATCTGATAGCTCATTGTAAATTCAAATATTATATTTAATCCTAAATTCAAATCATATATCTAATCCTATATTCAAATAATACATTTAATCCTAAATAATCAAATTCCAATCTAATTCAAAATCGAATATTTTCTTCTGAACTCATTTCTCCAATGCTAAACAAATATGTAACTTCAATTCCCCAAAGTTGTCAACAGATTTAAGCAAATGACTCATGACCCACGTAAATGTACTAGAGCATGGGGGAAAACGAATTGCATTACCATCCATTAGAGGTCATCCATTGTTCTAAAATATGTCTTCAATTTGTCACGCCTTGAGCCCACAAGCATGTTGGCTCGATGTAAACCTTAGGACCCACTAAGTGTAATATGTGGTTTGGCTCAATCCACTGCGAAAATTGACTAGTTAATGTTCAACTTGATTCTCAAGACCCATCATTTAAACCCTCTTAAACTCTCATCAATTTTCGGAAGTGGGACTATTAATGGGGTATCACAATCTCTCCATTAATACGCAACATCAGCATGACAATCCGCACATTCCAGTACCGTCGCTAGGCGATATGGACCTAGAGGTGGCTCCTACGAGCTCTAGAGGTGGCTCCCACTATGCTCATGTGATGTAGCAATTAGTTCTGCATAGCATTTAGCTCCATACTTTCGGCTGACTAATTGCTCTGATACCATTTGTCACGCCCCAAGATGCGAGTCCATTAGCGTAATGTTGACCTTGGGACCCACTTAGTGCAACACGGGGTTTGGCTGATATAGTATTTAGTCCTGCATAGCATTTAGCTCCACACTTTCGGCTGATTAATTGCTCAGATACCATTTGTCACGCCCCAAGATGCGAGTCCATTGGCGTAATGTAGACCTTAGGACCCACTTAGTGCAACACGAGGTTTGGATTAATCCACAAAAAAAATTTGACTAGTTAATGTTGCACTCGACTCTTAAGACCCATCATTAAACCCTCTTAAACTTTATAAAGTTTTCAATGTGGGACTATTAGTAGGGTATCACACAATTCATCTCCCAGCCTCATCCAAATTCGATTGTAGCTACATCTGATATAAATCTTTGTGAAAGTGACATTGGTGACTCATTCTCAATGTTTTTCAAACAAAATCAAGAGAGTTTTTTCCAAGAGAGTTTTTTCCAACAAGGGAAGAATTGAGCAAAAGTATCCAATTTCAGTCTTAACAAGATGCAAAATTTTGGGTCAACTTGGAATGTGAATCTGTGTTGGGTACAAACCCAAGAGTAACACACAAAATGTATAGCAGATTAAGTAACTTTTGGTGTTTTAATCTTTGGCTAGATATTTCTAGAGGAAGTTATGGGGAAAATACTAGAAGGTACTCAGATGGGAAGAAGTTTATCAGTTTGGTTTCTGTAGCTCTTGCACTTTTAGATGTGTCATCATGATTCAAAAGTCGATGTATGGAATCTTCTCATTCTTGTTTGGTTTGTCTTATTTTCTATGCTTGGTTTCTTCACCTTAGCATGTTTATAAATCAATAAATTTATAGTAGTAATAACAAGACTACAGCTTTGAAACTACTCCATCGCTACTACACCCAAAGATTGTGGCGACCTTGATGAGTGATCAATTTTGATGGAAATCCAAGTGAAAGGACCCACACTTTTGTGTGTCGTAGTAGTTTGAAAAGTGTAGTTTAGTTACAATTGTCCATACATTTATGAAGTACACAATTTTTAGGAAGTGCTTTCTGCTTTCTTCTTTCACTTGTGTATCTCTTTGGTGGATTTCATCAAGTAATGAGTTTCTTACAGTGTTGACTGTCTTCTCGAATACTTTTTCCTGGTGACATATCTCTGTAGAGTGATGACTAAATTACCCCCAAAAAGTCGCATAAGCAAGGGCTTTGTTTTCTCAAATTTATATTTTTCCTCTCCTCTCCAATATAATTCATTTTTTACTTTAATATTTCTGTAATTATTAATTAGTCATTGGTGTTGTTTATCTATCTGACGAGTTTTTGTTGCCATGGAAGATTGAGTACAATACTAGGCATCAACTGTATCATCATTTTTCTGGTTTTGTTGGGTCGCGCTGTATTTGTGTTTCCTCTCTCCATTCTATCCAACTTTCTCAGCTCAAATGTTGAAGCTGCTCCGGTTACATTCAAACACCAGGTAGCATTTTCTCTTTTTGTAATAAAGTCAATGTTAGTGATTACACACTCAATTTCTTATCTAGTAGAAATTATTTATTTATTTAATTTCACATAAAAGGTTATAATTTGGTGGGCTGGTCTCATGAGGGGAGCTGTTTCGATTGCGCTGGCATTCAATCAGGTACCAAGCATAGCTGCATACAATAGAAGTGGTGCTAACGATGTGATTTCCCAGCATTATATTCTTTTTGGCAATAAATATGCAAATTAACTTCCGTATATTTACTTTTTATCCTTCTACAGTTCACATTCTCTGGTGTTACAATGGATCCTGTTCATGCAACAATGGTCACCAGTACTGTTGCTGTTGTGCTTTTTACCACAATGGTAAGGTTGCAAAGTCATGTCATGCATATTTGTGGATGTTCTTTGGGCATTTGCATTTTTATGAATAGCATCATTGAATATTTTGATACATTTGGCACTTGCAATTGGTTAATTCAGTTTCCTACTGCAGATTCATTTTCTATTCCCTTTTTATTGATTTTCTTAGTATTAGTAGACCTTTTATGAGCTTTAAATTTAAATGCAGTGTCATACTTTCATGTGTCTATGTGGGTGTTCTTTTTAAATTTGTATTTGTGTTCACCATTGAATATTTTGGTACATTTGTCTCTTAGTTTTGATGTTGTGGTTTATTGTCTACTGCAATTTTATATAGCATATCTTTTTGCTCTTCCGTCTTTTGATTGTTTTATCCAGTAGAATTTTTAACGAGCTTGAAATGCAAGATCAGAAAGGTCATTTTCTCTCTCCTCCAAATGGCTTTCCAGGAAGCTCCTTTCCCCCACCCTTCTTCTTTTTTTATACGAGGGAAACCTTGGTGAGGCACGAGGATCCCAGACCGAAGCCTGAGTTCAATCCCTGAACCCTACCAAGTAAACCCTGAGTGTGTGGGTCCCACCTTTCATTGCCACACTCCAGATTAGGCAGATGGAATTGAACCGAGGACCTGAGGGGTGTTGGCAGTATTACCACCGCGTCCCTTGAAGCAGTGGGTGGGAAGCTCCTCTTACCTCAGGATAAAAGATCTTAGGATCTGCAGGACAAAAGACCTTTAGTTCTTCTCTCTGCATCCATGAGGCAGGGAGGTCTTTATTAATAGATGGACTCTTTGATTGTCCTTTCACATTTTGGTTTTTTTTCATAATCTTTGGTCCCTTTCTACTTCTTGGTGAAGATGTCTTCTTGTAGTAGATGTACTCTTTGAAACTACCTTCTTTGCTCTTTGGAAAGGTCTTATTACCGTCTCTAGTTCTTGCCTCCTTTGTGAGGTCTGCTTAATAGATGAACTCTTTGGTCCTTTCATCCCTCTTTGGGAGGGTCTTACAGACTGTTTGGCCCATTCTTTATTCTTTGATGAGAACATCTTCTTTATAGATGAGCTCTATTGTCTTCCCTCCACTATTTGAGGTCTTCTTTTCCAGGACTTATAAGTTGGCGATGAAAAAGAAAAATCTTAGACCTGTAGTTTTTTCCCAAAAAGCTTGAGGCGTCTAAGTCTTGGAAGAATGAGAAATCCTATACCTGAAGGTCTCCGTTCGAAAGCTTTGAAAGCACCCTAGCTGCGAGGTCAACCACCGGTGTCATTGATATCCCGTCCATAATGCGGTAACGAGATAAAAGCCTTGACATGGGACAGCCAAATAGACCCATAGTTGCTAGTAATTTGCCCTTGTCAATACGAAGTGTATCATAAACACTTCATTCATTGATCTGATCGGCCTCGTTGTTGGTCATAGTCTGCGTGCTATGAAGGTGAAGTGTGGGTATAAGATGACAAACATGTGTATCTTCCTGGCAAGTTTTTTCCTGAATTCATTGCTAGTTGGGGGGATACTTATGGCTCTAGGCGCAAAACCTTCTGCAAATTGCATATGGGAGCTATTTCGACCATCAGATGTGATCCAACTACTCACAAAAGCGTTATCAGTTAGGCCCAAGTCAAGTCGTTAAAAGACTGTCTGTTTGCCTTAGGGCCACAGTTCCTATTGAACTCTTCACCAATGTACCTTCGCCCAGGTCTTAGGTCAACTAGGATGCTTTTCTGGGCATCTTAACTGGATCACGTCCATAGAAGGTCTCAGTCCAACATAAATTCCTGATAACAGCGAAGCACGAAAACTTACCTGAGTTGCGAGCACGAGAGGATATTGTTGCGCGCAACGGAAATTTCAGCAGCACTTCGGCAGCACAACAAGAGAATCAGGTCACAATAGGAATTTCTGTTTCACCAAGGAAACAAGAACCTTAAGCAAAATATCTCAACCAAGTGGCATATCAGCTCTTCGTCTCATCAGTTCTAAGACTGACTTGTCGAGGGAACCTAAATAAACTATTACAAATCACACAAATAGTGAGACAACCAATTTTATGTGGTTCGGCAAATTACCTACGTCCACAGGGAGAGGATGAGGAGATTCCACTAAATCAAGGAGAGTACAAAGAGTTGCAATCTCACAAAACTCACAAACTAACCATCAATCAAAGCTCTCAACTTGCTCACAATATCTCTCTCTCACAATGCTCAAAAGTCTCTCTAATTTCTGATTACAACTCTCCTCTATTTTGATGATTGATTCTATCTCTCACAATGCTCAAAAGTCTCTCTAATTTCTGATTACAACTCTCCTCTATTTTGATGATTGATTCTAATCTCCATATATATAGAAAAACTAAAAAATTTCTGATTACAACTCTCCTCTATTTTGATGATTGATTCTAATCTCCATATATATAGAAAAACTAAAATCAAAACAGACTAGGAGTCCTAAAATCAAAAACAAAACAAGTTAGGAATCCTAATAACCTCATGTTACCAAAATAGATTAGGAATCCTAATAACCTCATGTTACAAAAATAGATTAGGAATACTGCTATCCAACAATTCTCCACCTCGGCGAATTATTCCCAAAACTGAGCCGATACCAACATGAGCATTAATACGTCGTCTCACCAAATTCGGTTGCACCAATGTGATTGCCTACGTACCCCCTCTCCCAAGGGATCAAGTCGTCCGTAGTTCATCCAAATGGCCGTCAATGGTCTCAACAATCACGAATGTGCAACAAGTTTTGATAATGATCAAACTTGTTGCTCGGAACCACCTTAGTGAGCATATCCGTCGAATTATCCTTCGTGTAGACCTTCACAATCTCCATATCGCCATCTTCAAGAACATCACGAACGAAATGATAACGAATGTCAATGTGTTTCGTCCTCGCATGAAAAACCTGATACTTCGCCAAATAGATAGCACTCATGCTATCACAATGAATGATGACGGACCGTTGCGATATACCAAGTTCTTCCAAAAGTCCTTGAAGCCAAATAGCCTCCTTCACAGCCTCTGTAATCGTTATATATTCTGCCTCTGTCATAGACAAAGCCACCGTCGACTGTAAGGTACATCTCCAACACACCGGCGTACGGGTTAAAGTAAACACATACTCCGTCGTAGACCGGCGTTTATCCAAATCCCCGGTATAATCCGAATCAATATAGCCAATGCATGACTGCCCACCTGTAGTGTCCCTCTCATAAACCAAACCATTGAGCGTACCTCGAATGTACCTCAAAATCCATCTCACGGCGTCCCAATGACTCACTCTTGGATCGTGCATATATCTCGAAACCATGCTCACCGCCTGTGATAAGTCCGACCTCATACATACCATCGCATATATCAAGCTCCCAACCGCGCTCGCATATGGAGTCTTAAACATCAACTCTCTATCTTCAACTGTCTTTGGTGAAAGATCAGCTGAAAGCTTCAAATGGGCTCCCAATGGTATATTAACTGGCTTCGTATCCATGCTAACATGAAATCGTTGTAGAACCTTCTTCAAATAAGCCACATGTATCAAACAAATTCTACCTTTCTTCTTGTCTCTGCCGATCTTCATCCTTAAAATACGCTTCGTCTCACCCAAATCCTTCATCTCAAACTCCTTTGAAAGTTGTGTCTTCAACTCATCAATAGCAGATCTGAAAATAGAGGAAACCAACATGTCATCGACAGAAAGTAATAAATAGATGTACACACCTCCTTTTAACTTGCAAAAATATACGTAAGGATCAAACTGGCTCTAAGTGTACGAATGACCAATCATAAAACCATCGAATCGCCTATACCACTGTCGAGGAGACTGTTTCAAACCGTATAGCGATTTCTTCAATCTGTAAACCAATTTTTCTTTCTCTGCAGCTCGGAATCTCAATGGCTGAGTCATATATATTTCTTCATCAAGATCGCCATGAAGAAATATCGTCTTCACGTCCAACTGATCTAACTCCAAACCATACGCTGTGCTACCAAAGCTAGCAAAATCCGAATCGAATAATGCTTTACCACCGGAGAGAAAACCTCATTATAATCTATTCATTCCTCCTGTGCATAGCCCTTCGCAACCAACCTAACCTTGAACCTCGATAGAGTGCCCTCAATGCCCTCCTTCTTCGTGTATACCCACTTGTAACCAATTGCCTTCTGCCCCTTTGGAAGCTCAACAAGCTCCCACATATCATTCTTGTGAAGAGACTCCATCTCCTCCTGCATAGCTACCTGTCACGAATCAGTCTCCGAACTCTGCTCAGTCTCGTTGAATGTAGTAGGCATCATCTCATCGATACTCTCCATCGAAAATGCATACGCAGCTATGTCGGCATATAGTGTTGGCAACCGTATGTCTCTCATCTGTCTCCGAACCGTAATAGAATCCTGAACCTGAACCGTCGGTCCCTGATCCTGCACATCAGTACCCGTATCCTCCGTGTCACCATCGTGCTCGCCTGGCGTCACCTCAGTCGGCACTCTAATGGATACTGTACCATCTGGACAATGTGGAGTTGCATCGATCTTCACCACCTGCGATATCTCCTCTGTCGGGTCGCTCTCTACCTTATGAGAGCTGAGAAGCTTCAAGATAGAGCCTCATCGAACGTGACGTCTCTACTCAGCATAATCTTCCTATCAACTAGATCCCATAGCTTGTATCCCTTGACACCACGTTTGAATCCTACAAATATGGTCTTTCTAACTCGATGTTTTAATTTATCTGTTCTCATATGATAAAATGCAGGACACCCGAATATCTTAAGCTGGTCATAGTCATGTGCTGGCTCTCCCGATCACATCTCCATAGGGGTCTTCCCCTCAATCGTAGATGAAGGAAGCCTATTAATAAGGTGGCTCGCATATGTAAGTGTCTCAGCCCAAAAGATCTTCTCCAAACCACTCTGCGACAATAAACATCGGACCTTCTCCAGCAAAGACCGATTTAGCCTCTCTGCCACCCCATTCTGCTACGGTGTATGACTAACCGTGAAGTACCTTTCTATGTCCTCGTCTCGACATAGCTGCAGAAAGGGGTCTGAAGTATGTTCACCACCGTTGTCAGATCGCAACATCTTAATATTTCTCCCAGTCTGTAGTTCTAATCTCTTCTTCCACTCCACAAATAAATCTAGGACTTCACTCTTCTTCGTCATGGTGTACGCCCAACATCCTCTAGAATAGTCATCAACGAACGTGACGAACCAATATCGACCACCAATTGATACAGTCTTGATGGGACCCCAAACATCTATGTGCACGTAGTCCAGAATGCCCCTCGTCCTATGAATGGTCGTCCCGAACTTCACCTTCGTCTTCTTGCCAAGAACACAGTGCTCACAGAATTCCACTTTACCACTCTTGGCTTCCTTCAATACCCCCTACTTGCACAAAGCCTGTAGTGACTTCTCTCTTTTGTGCCCTAACCTGTAGTGCCAAAGTCTACTCATGTCCGTCTCTGAAATAGCCGAAGCAACTTGACCAATCTCGGTGCTCCCCTTCAGATAATACAAGTTTCGACTACGGACTCTCTTCATCACCACTAAAGATCCCTTAGTAATATTTGATACAGCGTCCTCAAAAGTCACATTGAATCCCTTCGCCTCCAAAGCTCTAACTGAAATAAGATTCTTCTTCAGCTGAGGAACGAACTACTTCATCGTGCATCCGGATCCTCACAGTACATATCCCACAAATGCCACATGACTAATCATTTCCCATGACTATAACTCCCCCCATCGAGCTTCTCAAAAGATGCAAACCAATCTCACCTAGGGGTCACATGATAGATAGCGTCGAAATCAAGCATCTAATCTGATGCATCCAAGTGGTTCACCTCCGGAGTAATCAGTAGAGAAAAGTTCGAATCATCGGAATCATCGTCTTTCACAATATTCACCTCATTGGCCTTTGGGCCCTTTTTCTTGTCGTTATCCTTCTCCTTAAGTTTCGGGCAGTCTCTCTTCTAATGTCCCTGCTCCTTGCAGAATGCACATTGGTTCTTTACTAATTGGTGGCGGCTTCTTGACTTTGACCTTCCTCTATTACCACCTTTCGGATATGGGCTTTTACCTCTCGTCGACAAGGCCTCGCCTGAAGTACTAGCACGGGAAGTCTCCTTTTCCTTCCTCCTCAAATCATAATTCGTCAATATATTAGTAACTTCACTATAGCTGATAGAAGATCTTCCGTTCAACAAAGTGAGCACAAATGTGTCATATTCCTCATCCGATAAGGAGCCCAATAAAATAATAGTCTTGTACTCATCCAAAATCTTTTCATCAACATTCGTCAAGTCCGACAATAACTTAGTGTAGCTGTTCACATGAGCCGCTAGCAAGGTGCCTCTGGACATCTGGAATCTGAATAACCTACGCAGTAAATACAACATGTTCTCAACACTCTTCGTAAGGTACTTATTGTTGAGAATTTCCTATATCTTCATCGCAGACGTTACTCCAATCACATCATACTTCAGCTCCTATTCCAAACAAGACCTGATCACCCCACAAGCGTTCCTATTCATCTTTTCTCATATCGCCTCTTCATATTTTTGTGGTCTTTCGTGGACCATGATGGTCTCCTCCAAGTTCTGAGCATTGAGCGTATCCTGTACGTCGCTCATCCACAAAACAAAGTTAATTTTACCGTCATATTTTACCATACTAATTTTGGTATTCTGAAAACCAACTTGAACTGTACTCGCCATCGACTTGCTGCTTTCATCTTCTTCTCCCATTACAAACTAACTCCAAGTTGTAGAGAAAGAACCAAACTTTGATAGAAATTAAGAATTACCCAACTGAACCCTAAATCGGATTCTAAATAGATCTCCTGTTCACACGAGGAAAACGAAATCTCCAACAGTAACTCCTAATGCTATCTCCACCGAAGCCTAGAACTCTAAGAACCAAGCTTCACACAAGAATCTTCCTCCACCTAATTCCAAAACCCTAGATCTGAAATATGGGCTCTGATACCACTTGTTACGCGCAGCGAAAATTTCGGCAGCACTTCTGCAGCACAACAAGAAAATCAGGTCGCAATAGGAATTCTTGTTTCACCAAGGAAACAAGAACCTTAAGCAAAATATCTCAACCAAGTGGGATATCAGCTCTTCCTCTCATCAGTTCTAGGATTGATTTGTCGAGGGAACCTAAATAAACTATTACAAATTACACAAATAGCAAGACAGCTAATTTTACATGGTTCGGCAAATTGCCTACGTCCACGGGGAGAGGATGGGGAGATTCCACTAAATCAAGGAGAGTACAAAGTGTTACAATCTCACAAAACTCACAAACTAACCCTCAACCAAAGCTTTCAACTTGCTCATAATATCTCTCTCTCACAATGCTCAAAAGTCTCTCTAATCTCTGATTACAACTCTCCTCTATTTTGATGATTGATTCTAATCTTCATATATATAGAAAAACTAAAACCAAAACAGACTAGGAATCCTAAAACCAAAAACAAAACAAATTAGGAATCCTAATAACCTCATGTTACCAAAATAGATTAGGAATCCTAATAACCTCATGTTACCAAAATAGATTAGGAATCCTAATAACCTCATGTTACCAAAATAGATTAGGAATATTGCTATCCAACAGATATTAATATTGTACCAAGTGTTCAAGTGTTATTTATAGTATGTTATATGCTATGTAACTTTTCTCATGTAGTATCATTACCTATCTTATTTTCAATGAATACTAATTTCCTGCTGCATTTGTTTCAGGTGTTCGGTATGCTGACAAAACCACTTGTAAGAAATGTAATTCCCCGACATGCACGTGCACATGACACTAACCTTTCCAAGGAAAAAGATATCACCCTCCCTCTTCTCCCCATCGACGATGCTGGTGCTTCTAGCTTTCAGCAAGCGAAGAGAAGCCTAACGATGCTGCTGGAGAGGCCAGCACACACCATTCATGCTTACTGGAGGAAGTTTGATGACACCTACATGAGACCAGTTTTTGGTGGACCTACTTAGCTCCTAAAACTTAATAATAAAATTTTGTAATCTGATGGTGCATCAAAGTGTGTTGTTTTCGTCAATGTTCATATTAGACTTGATCTTTTCGAGAATGCTTTATAATAATAATCACCAGAAAGCTGGTGTATAGATGAGATGTACAGTCATGTAATTTATGCCTACAGGATTTATTTGCTTAGACTTGCCAGCCTGTAACAGTTTTTTTCTGGCGCCTTTGCTTATGTTAAAGTAAGAGAGAGAGAATCTTGGGTAAATTTTCCTTGAATTGAATATTGAGTATGCACATATATTTATACAAGTAGAGGAGTGTGAGGTTTGTTCTCCCAAGCAATGTGGGACTAAAACCCACTACAATACACTATTATCAACAGCCCCCTTCAAACTCATGTTGGATCAAACAAAGTGAGTTTGCGTACAAGAAACTGGAACCAATGAACAGGTAAGGCATTTGTAAAGAAATCTGCAAGCTCGTCAGCGGATGAAACATGAGGAAGTAGAATTGTCTTGTCCTTGATAACTTGGTGACAGACAAAATGAGTAACCAGATGAAGAAGGCAAAGGAGCTGGCCCCCAAATATCAGAATGTACTAAATCAAATAAGGAAGTGGATACATATGTACTCATTCTAAATGGTAAAACAGTGAATTTTGCCAATTTGCAACTAGTACATGACTCAATACTAGAACTAGATGATACAGAACCAAGTACTCCAGACTGAATAAGACTCTCCAGCCTTTTATTAGACACATGACCAAGTCGTCTATGCCATATATTGGCAGGAAGCGAGGGAGAGGGGTTTGACGAACGAAGAGAAACAACAAGAGAACGTGGACGTATGGACTCTGGAAGGTGAAGATATTCCAGAAAATACAGTTTGTGCCTCCTACGACCCGCCCCAACCGTCTTGCCCGTCTGTGGATCCTGCACAATACAAATATCAGAAGAAAATGAGACAAACAAGCCCGCCATGCATAAAGAGCTAATAGAAATTAAATTCAAGCACAACTGAGGAGCCACATAGACGGGACCAAGTGTTAGACGACCAGATGGATCATTTTGTGGGGTAATAGAGCCATACTGAGTAATGGACAATAGTTGTCCAGCAGCTGTGTAGATAGGAGGAAGAGAGGATGAAGTAAAGACAGAGGATAAAAGTGAGGCATTACAAGTCATATGAAAGGAACAACCAGAGTCAAAAATCCAGAGATCATTCATACCGGACTAGCTGAAGAACCAGCAAAATGCATACCAGAGAGTTGTGCGGCAGATGTAGAGGTGATATGTTGGAAAACATCAAGTTGACGGCGAAGACTTTCAATAGCTTGAATAGTAGAGTCTGAAGTAGTAGAAGGTATAGCATTGGCCAACAATCCTGGTGTACGAGAGGGTTGAGACTGAGGGGGTCGCTGTTTTCGTCAAAAGTTGGTTTCATTGTGTAATTCGTTATATCTTCGGTCGATTACAACAAATTCAAAAGAAATAGTCTTTTTATAAGACTTCTTTTACATAACAAAAGGAAAATTATAACTTTTTAGAAACAAACACAGGATCGTTGTTTGGATCGCTGCTTGCGTGGGATCTTTGCCTGTGCCGGGGGTGCGTTACGATTCACAGATTCTGATTGAATCGTGAAGGTTTTGGGAATTCTTTCTTCGTTTATCGAAGTAAGAATTTAAAACGAATATCTTATCGATGTAAGATGTTCACTCTTTTAAAGATCAAGTCAGAGCTTAGATCTCTAGGAATCGCCAAAAGCTTCTTGAGGATGTTTGTGAAGAAGGAAGACTCTCTCTCTTGCTCCAATTCACCAAAAGCTCAAGCCTTTTCTGCTCCAATCTGCTCTCCCCAATCTATTCTCTTTGTCAATGATGGTCCTAGGGGAGTATTTATAGCCTCTTTGGATGATAACTGAAGAAAATAACCGATTAACAACTGCTCATTTGGGCGCGGCAGCTAGGGGTGGCGCGGTCAAAGGAGTGGTTCCCCTTTTTAGTTTTGTAACTGCCATCTCACGACTTTTGTCACGATTTTCGTGGGTAGTGGGCATGATTTTTACTTGTAACTGCTTCCCCCACGTTCATAAGTGACCCCCAACAATTAATAATCCATGTAGGCTGCACAAAACTCGAGAAAACTGTCAAAAATGACATGTTCAGCTTCCCAGTGGCCGCGGCAGTACGTGGTGTCGCGCATTGCCGCGCCAGTTACCACTGCCGCGTACCTCCTGAGTATTTTGGCTCTAACTTTCTCGTTCGATGTCGGAATGAGGTGATCGAAGATGCGTTGGAAAGCTAACGAAGAGATCTACAACTTTTACATTTTGAGCTTCTTCAGATTTTGATAATATCATGGCTTAAATGTGCAGTATATTACCGCGGCAGTGTACACTGCCGCCCACCTCCGATGCAGTTTGCGACCTCTCGGGTATTTTGGCTCTAACTTCCTCGTCCGATGTCGGAATGAGGTGATCCAAGATGCGTTGGAAAGCTATAGAAGAGCTATACAACTTCCAATGGCAATTCACTCTGTTTATTTGCGTGTCACCTTGTACTGTCGCGCTATTACCGCGGCAGTGTACACTGCCGCGCACCTCCGATGCAGTTTGCGACCTCTCGGGTATTTTGGCTCTAACTTCCTCGTCCGATGTCGGAATGAGGTGATCCAAGATGCGTTGGAAATCTATCGAAGAGCTATACAACTTCCCATTTGCTCTTTACTCTGTTTATTTGCACATCACCTTATACTGTCGCGCTATTGCCGCGGCAGTGTACACTGCCGCGCACCTCCGATGCAGTTTGCGACCTCTCGGGTATTTTATCTCTAACTTCCTCGTCCGATGTCGGAATGAGGTGATCCAAGATGCGTTGGAAAGCTATCGAAGATCTCTATAACTTCTCATAGGCACATCACTCTATTTGTGAGCACAACACCTTTCACTTTCGCGCCTATTCGCGTCAGTATTCCTTATCGTGGGTGTTCATATTGTTCTTCTATGTTTCTTTGTTTATTTTACCTTTGGATGATCTCCTTTGACTTAGATAGGTATATTCATACCTATAGGTATTTTTAAACGTCTACATATACCCCCTCCAAAGTGTCTCAGACTCATTCTTTTATAAAGGAGTCTGAGACACTTTGGATAAGATGAGTCTTACTTGCAATCCCTTCAGTACTTAGTTGAGGAGATCGTGTAGAAGAACCTATGAACGGCTTCAACTCTTGACTTCTTCATCTTTTAGTCTATTCAGTGCTTTGTAGAATAGCTAAAACTCTTCCGGTGCTGCGTTTATCGCTCGACCGTTGTTAAAATCTTGAACTGAAACTGATGTTTTGATTTGTGAATTAGCTCTTGTCGTTGAACTGATGTTGAACTTATTGTCTTCATTAGGAATTCATATCTGGATCACAAATGAATCCCCTGAGATCATCCATTGGACTTTTTTTTAGCCTTATTTTGGCAAAAATCATTGACGCGTTGACAGGCGTTAACACAGTTTATCCTCGTGTGTTTACTGGAGTCTACACAGTTTAAGCTCTTAAGGTGTTGGAGCATAGCGGTCCTGAATGTCGAAGCTGCAAGACTAATTGTTCAGGTCGGTTCATCTGCAGGTATGAACTTTATCCTGAGTTAGTCGTATACTCAAGTCACGAGACCAACTAATGAAGCTGGTGCGTCAGTGATTATCGCATTTATAGGATTTTTGGCAAACCCTCAGCCATTAACGGATTTGATATGCCTTTACTTTACCGATTACCGTTTGAATCGGGCTAGTATGTGAATTATCTAAATCCGTTTCACATATAACGTTGGGCTAAAAGAATTAGACTCTTTTAGACTTTGAACTACAATATTAAATATGTAGGCTACATGTGTTAGATGTAGGCTTATCTCTAATAAGGGATCGAGATAACGTCCCCCATGCTTGAACAGCACGGATTTTTACCTAAAGAAAGAATTAGGTATTCTATCTTTCAATCTCTTATTTGTTGGTAGAGATGAACCCAAAATCAGAGAGGAAGAATTTTATATTCTATCTCCTGATCTCTTGTTTGTTGGTAGAGATGAACCCAAAATCGAAGAGGAAGAAACGAATCGAGAGGGGATTTTGGCTTTGGTCCTAACTGTTTAAAGGTTTGACCAAATAGGGTTTTGAGACGATCCTAACTGTTTAAAGGTTTGATCGTTCAATTTGTGGACCTCTCGTTCATGGAACGAATCGAGAGGGGGTTTTGGTTTTGGTCCTAACTGTAGTAAGGTTTGACCAAGTGGGAGTTTTGAGACGATCCTAACTGTAGGAAGGTTTGACCGCTCGACTTGTGGACCTCTCGTTCATTGAAGGAATCGAGAGGGGATTTTGGCTTTGGACCTAATTGTTTAAAGGTTTGACCAAATGAGAATTTGAGACGATCCTAACTGTTTAAAGGTTTGATCGTTCAATTTGTGGACCTCTCGTTCATGAAAGGAATCGAGAGGGGATTTTGGCTTTGGTCCTAACTGTTTAAAGGTTTGACCAAATGGGAATTCGAGACGATCCTAACTGTTTAAAGGTTTGATCGTTCAATTTGTGGACCTCTCGTTCATGGAAGGAATCGAGAGGGGATTTTGGCTTTGGTCCTAACTGTTTAAAGGTTTGACCAAATGAGGACTTGAGACGATCCTAATTGTTTAAAGGTTTGATCGTTCAATTTGTGGACCTCTCGTTTATGAGAGGAATCGAGAGGGGATTTTGGCTTTGGTCCTAACTGTTTAATGGTTTGACCAAATGAGAATTTGAGACGATCCTAACTGTTTAAAGGTTTGATCGTTCAATTTGTGGACCTCTCGTTCATGAAAGGAATCGAGAGGGGATTTTGGCTTTGGTCCTAACTGTTTAAAGGTTTGACCAAATGGGGACTTGAGACGATCCTAACTGTTTAAAGGTTTGATCGTTCAATTTTTGGACCTCTCGTTCATGGAAGGAGTCGAGAGGGGATTTTGGCTCTAACTGTTTAAAGGTTTGATCGTTCAATTTGTGGACCTCTCGTTCATGGAAGGAATCGAGAGGGGATTTTGGTTTTGGTCCTAACTGTTTAAAGGTTTGACCATGTGGGAGTTTGATACGATCCTAACTGTTTAAAGGTTTGATCGTTCAATTTGTGGACCTCTCGTTCATGAAAGGAATCGAGAGGGGATTTTGGCTTTGGTCCTAACTGTTTAAAGGTTT